TTGGAAAATACTGGTTTCAAATACAGAGATGTTTATATTGGGTTCAAAATTAGGCATTACATTACATATGTGATGCCCCCGCCAGGGCCAAGATGAAATGTATTATAGAACATGTCGGTTACTATGCTTGTGAAAAGTGTGTTGTAGTGGGAGAGTATATTGATGAGAGAATGACATACATCAATATTGAAGCGGAGTTACGGACTGATGAGTCATTTCGCTTGCGGTGCAATTCACAACATCACACTGGTGTATCCCCTATGGAGAGAACCAACTAGAGTCCTGTGTCTCAGTTCCGACTGGATACGCTCCATTTAGTCTATCTTGGTGTTTACAAAAGACTGATCACTGCGTGGATGAAGTGGAATGGAGTATGGAAACTACCTCTGAACACTAAACGTACCATTTCTAATGACCTAATTGCTCTCGTGCCATCTTGCCCATCCGACTTCAATAGGAAACCAAGACCTCTAACTGAGTTACACGGTGGTGACCAACTGTCCTAAACAAATCAGAATTTACATTATTCGATCCATGCTCTCCAAAGTCACAACGCATTTTTATGATGGTTTGATAATTTTCTTTAAGAATGTGCGTGGAGTGGAAGGGAGCGTTAAGCATATCATGTTGTTGTTTACAATTGGTCAGCGGCAATCAACAAGGGCTTGTCTCATCATTACTCTACTCCGGAACAGGTTTACTATTGCTGGCCCGAGTTAAATACATTGTTTTTATATCTAAGCTCTGTAGCATCTCTAAGAAACAAATGTGTAAACAATATCAAAAGATAAGGAGATGTTAACATAAGTTAAACAATTGGCTCAGACAGCTAACCTCACAGTTTGTGGTAAACTTTGTTGTGAAGTAACAAGCGACAAACATAAAATACCGTCAATGGCTAGCATGGCAAAAGTTTTAATTTATAATTAAAAAGTCCACACAAGTCACGAAAAAGCGATAATTTTTTTTACTGAACGCGGGGACGGATTTTGACAAGCGGCATGTCGTCTGACTCGGTTTTAAGCGTTGATCACGTTTTTGATAACGGCCTTTGTCTACGATTGATAGTTTGAGCCACAGGCCAAATGTGTAACGTTTTGGCCCGCTGACGCACAAGAAACTAATGTTAACTTTGCACCCACTTCGGGAGGGTCAAATATTGTCCGATCTGGCTGAAATTTTTTTTGAGAGCGTTTTTTATGGATTGGCACGAGATGGACAATGTGAACTTCAACATTTTAACAAAAAGTTTTTCTTGGTCTACTCTAGAGGAGGTAGTAACAACACAATCAACAACATCAACAACAAGCACCGGCCGACTATCTACAGTTCTGAGTGTTAGTAATCAAGCAGGTGTTAAACACAGGTCGGCTTGTTGAGAAGCTAGAGTCAACATGGCCGTCAGAAACTTATTTTACTTGTGTGTTGCAAGAAGTAGTATATTGATTTCTTTTTATTTTGAAGTCTGGTTGAGAGAGTTGCCTTGCGTCAACGCTCAATGTCATCTACGCCAAGTCGAGTACGGATAACAAACCATAAACCTGATTTAGTGCACTGTGAATTTTGGGTGGTTATTTTGACAAGCAGAAGACCCTGCGCTGGCAGAGGCACAACAAAGAGTAGGATAAATAGGATCAGTGCTCTCAAATTTGCATCTGAGGAATAGAGGAAAGTTAGACAGTGACTTTTTTAGACTTTGGTGAGTAAAAGAAACCACCTCACCCTCCTGAAAGTGCTGCTCGACTGGTCACTGATAAATTTTAGTGGAATTAAGGATTGGTTTTGTGCGTATTTGTATCTAATTGGTCTCAACCTTTCAATTTAATAATTTTTATCCAACATCATCCTCTGACAGTATTATTAATGTATTTTATTTTATGTGAACTTCGTTAAAATTTAAATACATTATCATACTGTAGCTTATTGCCGTTCAAAAAGGGAGCATCTGGGAATCATAGGTGCGAGGCCAAACTTATCTTGCACATTTTTATCATGGATGCCTCTTTTGCAGTAATTTACGTAATTTTCTTTGGGAAGCCGCTGATTTATTTTCCACGAAGAAAAGTAACTAGAATGACAGACAAATTGTCCCTAGGGTATGGACATTAGGGTTCAATCCAAAGTCTCAAATTGTGTTCTAATCAGTTACAATCTTGTCCAGTAGTGACCACAAATTTGTCCATTAGCTTCACACGTACAGTTGTCCATAAAATTGGACAATTTTGTAACTGGCAAGTTACGCGTACAGAAGTCCAGAGCTCAGTTACAAATTTGTACGGAGCAAGTTACCAAAATGTCCATGGCATTTAGAGTGTATATACATTTATCGTAACGATACAGATTCGATACTACAATAGAGGAGACCGTGCAGGGTCGTAAAACGATATCGATACGGTATCGTTTTACTGGTTTTTGTCGATATCGTAAACCTGTCATTATCAAGAACATTTTTCTATCGTTTACGACACCCGTTTCGACATAACAACGATATCGATGTGTCGATGTCGTTACGATATCGTTACGACACATCGTTTTTTACTGGGTTTAGAGCTATGTTGGCAGCAGTGTACGCATTCGACGAGCTTGTCGGGAGGATTCAAATGTTTCCCGGCAAAAGTGAAAAGTCTTAAGAGTCCGAAAAGTCACTTGGGAGCCAAAATAGCTTTTCTAGGCCAAATTTTACTGAACGTTGTCTGGGTACTACAAATGACGTAAAGGGTTAAGAGACCATCCAATATTTTCGCAAATAGATACATTTATTTTTGGGGCCACTTTGGTAAGAGAAACTCCCTCTAGCGCCTAAACGGTAAAAGATAGGGCCAAACGGACGAAATTTTGGTCCTAAGGACTCTACTTTCATAAATTACCCCTTAGGAGACAGTAAAAACAATATTTCTAGCACGCCCTTCTGCTTTGGAAAAGCTATCCAGCGGGCTTATTCAAACGTCTGTGTATCTGTCTGTCTGTGTGTCTGTCTGTGAGTCTGTATGTCTGCTCCACTAAAAGAAGATGTGCTAGAGACCTGAAATTTTTAGGGTACACTGTTAACAAAATTTCATTACATTTTAATAACATTTATATGAAGCTATTTTCATTACAATTTCATTACAATGTTATTAAATTTTCATTACAATTGAGTAATGAAGTTTCATAACTCATGTTATTAAAAAATTGACAACTTTCTAAAAGAAATTTGTTTTGCTCTAACCCATATGGCATCTACTCCTCAACCAACTAACGGATTTTACAGGCCGTAACCATAGCAGTTTACCGTACCTTACCGAGAGTTGAACCCGGAACCCTCGGGTTGGAATACCCTCGCCTTTGACCACTCGGCCACGAGCATTACCTGAGAGTGGTCGAGCTGTAACGTTGGTCTTATGCCACTACTGGCAGGGAGGAGTTTCCTTACTGTTTAATAAACATGTAATGAAAATTTAATAACCTTGTTATGAAAATGTCATAAAATGCACTGAAAAGGGGCGTGTAATGAAATTTCAATAGCGTGTAATGAAATTGCCATTAAATTTAATAACATTGTTCTTAAATTAGGAGAGTCATTAAATTTCATGACAAATTTATTAAAATTAATGTTTATTGCGTAATGAAATTTAAAACATTTGTAACAGTGTATCTAAAGGCTCACCCCTAGAGAACGAAACGCCTACGGCAAATCCTGGCAACCACCCCTAAGGGTGTACATGGGGGTATCCAAGGTTCAAAAATTCTCCCAAAAAGTATTTTCTTTTTAATGTTCTCCCATGGGGTAACTCACGAAAGAAAAGCTTTGTGGGCGAAAATTTGGTCCGTTTTGTTCTCTAACCGTTTAGTCGCGAGAGGGTCTTTGTTTAACGAAAATATGCTAAAAATTGCCAAAGTGAACAATAAGTTGTAGAAAAAGGCCTAAAACCGTAAAAATAGGAAAGAAACTCTCCCCCTACCCACTAAAAACGTTTCCTGAGCAGAAGGATGGGTTGTAGTCGCGGTGCTTCAGCGTCACAGCCCTTTCCCCTTGCCTACGAGGCAACTCAAAGACGAGGGTTTAAGAGGGCCGAAGGTTCAAAATTTCTTCCAAAAAGTATATTTTTCTACGTTTAAGGGGTAACTCGCGAAAGTGGAGCCCTTTAGCCAAAAAATTCGTCCGTTTTGCTCTATCTCTAACCGTTTAGGCGCTAGAGATTCTTTTTTGAAGAAAATAAGCTAAAAATTGCCATAGTGAACAATAGGATGTAGAAAAGGGCCTAAAAACCGCAAAACAGAAAGGAAACTCTCCCCCCACCCCCAAAAAACGTTTTCTAAGCAGAAGGGTGGGTTGTAGTCGCGGCGGTGCTTCACCGTTACACCCCTTCTCGAGTCTTTGGGGCAAACTCAAAGAGGACGGGTTTAAGCGGGCCCTGATCATGTTCTTCAGCAAATCGCAAGCCGCCGGCAGGCCAAGCAAGCCCGGCCCCTGCCGAACGTAGTTCCCGGTGGAGCGAAGCGGATCTGGCAACTTCGTTTGGCGGAGGGGGGGGGGCTGATTGTTTTGTTTTTTTTTAACTTTTTAGGTCCTTCCTGTTTTCTTCGATACCCTCTTTCAGCCCCTTAGGGGTGGTTGGCAGGAGTTTTCGTAGGCGTTTTGTTTTGTGGGAGTTAACCTTGAGATCCCCTAAAAATTTGATGTCTCTAGCACATCTCCTTCTTGTGGGTCAGACAGACAGACACGATGTCGTTTGCATGAGCCCGCTGGATAGCTTTTCAAAGAAGAAGGGCGGGCTAAAAAGTCCTAAAGTAAAAGCCTAAAAACTTCAAAATGCCATAACTCCTTAACCGTTTGCCCTACAGGCACAGGTCTTACATTATTTTTAGTGAATACTCGTCTTTTAGTAGACAACTAATGCACAAATAATGGGCGCAATCGTAAAGAGTCACTTTTGACTAGTGGAGTAATGGGCCTGCTAATCGCTCAGCCAATGAGGAGAGGGGTGTTAAAGAACGAGTAAAACATTCGAAAACTTAACTAACATTAGCTGAGATCATGCAAAACCAATTTCTATTTTATTTGATACAAGAAAATAAAGTAGACGAAACCCTTATAACATCATCAAAATGTACCTTACATATTATGTCATTCCTTCCGTATTTCACGAGAAAGCTTTTGGAAAATTTTGAAATTGTTCAAACCGCCTATGAGCTGATACCCACAAGCGTGTTCAAATACGAAAACCACGACTTGAGCGCCGATTTACAGAAGGGCAGTCCCATTGTGCCGAAACCACGGCAGGTGATCAGAGCTGGGCGCGCCGCGCGCAGCATGACGAGGACGCACGTGCGGCGGTACGCAGGGCAGCCCGCAACCCAATCTGCGGTGTACGCCTTCTGGCCCACGCGCCTACTCGCATCCGTCAGATCCTGCAATAAGACGCAATTGTGTTAACCATGTGAATAATTTTCATAAATTAAGGGGGCAGACCTCTGAATTGAAGGGTTTGGAACAAGCAGGTCCGCCCTTCCGCCAAACGGAGTTGCCAGCTCCACTTCGCTGCGCCGGCAACTCCGTTCGGCAGGGGCCGGGCCTGCTTGGAGGGCCGGCGGCGATGGTCGTGCCTTCGGCCCGACCATTTCAGTCTCGCGATTTACCGAAGTGCATAATCAAGAAAGTAATGTGACCGGTAAATCACTTTGCATATTTAAGTAAACTAAAGCGTTCGGTGGGGGGCCTGCGGCCCTAGAAATTTGCTCCTTCGACATGACAAAAGACTGTAACGGGGCAACACCGTGACTACAACCCACCCTTCTGCTTTGCTTAAGAATTTTAAAAAAAGAACCCGCGCAGATTGTATAGTGTAAATTATATATTGTTTGTCAAACAGTCTTAAAACTTGACTTTTTGCGATTCGACGCGTCCGGCGAACAAAGGCGAATCTGCGGAGCAACCGGTAACAAAGGCGAATCTGCAGAGCGCCCGGTAACAGAGGCGATTCGCATTTGTTCGCCGGACGCGTCGAATTGCAAAAAGTCAAGTTTCATTGTTTTCAATGTAGCCATCTCGAGCTCCTAAACGGTTAAAGATACGGTAAATCAGAGGGTAGCTACTGCCTCAGAATGTGCTGTTTTGGGGGGGTACTGCCTCTGACATTTTACGATTGGACGCTTCCTTGTACGTCTTTATGTGCAACGTGGTAATTTTGACCATATTTTCGTCGTAAAAAACACACTAGCGCCCAAACGGTGCAAGATAGAGGCCAGCGGACGAAAATTTTGTCAAAGGGGTTCTTCTTCCACGAGTTACCCCATAGGGGACCATAAAAAAATTAGATTTTTGGCTGAGCGATTAGCGAAGCCCATTGCTCCACTGACCGAAAAAGTTTCATTCTGTTTGTGTGTTTGTTTGTCTGTCTGTCCGCACGATAACTCGAGAAGGAATTGAGATAGCGATTTGGGAATTTCAGGGTCGTTTTGTATCACAAAAAGACAGATCGAATTCAAAGAGAAATTGGCTTCTTAAAAACTCAAAAACTACAGGTCGCAAAATGTATGTTTATCAAATAGTATTTTATAGGTTCCTAAGGGGTAAACCGTCAAAGCAGAGGCCTCCTGGCGAAAATTTCGTCCGTTTGGCTGTATCTTGTACCGTTTCGGTGCTAGGGGGCATTTCTTGACTAAAATGAGGTGAAAATGATCAAATGGTCGATTTCATCGTTAACAAGACTTCATTTCGAAAAATTGTATATTCACTCCTGTTACCCCGTCTCGGGTGTCAGCGCCGCAGGCCTAGCTATTTGTGCGCCAGGCGCGTCGCAGCGTAAGTGTTCCGTGAGATATCGCGAAGCCTGTTACGCGAGATGTGGTCTGGCGTACACATAGCTAGTCTACTTTTTGGACCAACCCCTATTCCTTTGTTACCCTCTTTCACCCCCTTAGGGGTGGTTGCCAGGATTTGCACCAGGCATTTCGGTTTCCAGGAGTGACCCCTAATTGGCTGAGCGATTAGCGAAGCCCATTACTCCACTGACCCGAAAAGTTTCATTCTGTTTGTGTGTTTGTTTGTTTGTTTGTCTGTCTGTCCGCACGATAACTAGCTATATGCACGCCAGACCACGTCTCGCATAACAGGCTTCGCGATATCTCACGAAACACTGTAACGCTGCGACGTGCCTGGCGCACATATAGCTAGGCCTGCGGCGCTGATACCCGAGTTTGGTAGTGCAAAACTGTACACAAAGATACGGGATACGGGCCTTCGGCCCGTCTAAAGACCGTCACTTTGACTAAGCATGCAGGGTCGTACATTTTTTCGCTTATTGACGTCAAAAACACCCTCTAGCGCCTTAACGGTTTGAGCTAGAGCAAAACGGAGAAAATTTTCGCCCAAGGGCCTCTACTTTCTATGCGTTACCCCTAAGTACACCTTACAAAAATATTTTAAAAAAGACATTTTTGGAACTCGTCGTTTTTGATTTTTAAAAAATCCAAGTTTTGAGATAGAATGCTCATCTTCGAACTTGTTCTGTCTTTGTATAACACAAAACGACCCTGAAAATCCCAGGTCGCTAGCTCAACTCGTTCTCGAGTTATCGTGCGGACAGGCAGACAGATAGACAGACAGACGTGCAGACAGACAGACAGACAAAGTTTTTTTCGACCAGACGGAGTAAAGGGCACCTAAACGGTACAAGATAGAGCCAAACGGACTAAATTTTTGCCCGTTGGGCTCTACTTTGACGGTTTACCCCTTAGCAACCCATAAAAGAAAATTGGATAAAAACTCATTTTGTGACCCGTAGTTTTTGATTTTTTTTTAAATCCAAATTTTGAGCTATAATGCTCATCTTCTTATCTGTCTTTTTATGATACAAAACGACCCCGAAATTCCCAGATCGCTATCTCAATTCCTTCTCGTGTTATCGTGCGAACAGACAGACAAACAAGCAGACAAACAGAATGAAACTTTTCCGGTCAGTGTAGTAATGGGCTTCGCTCAGCCAAAAATCGTCACGCACGGACACGCTCATTTCAAAAATATTTCAGGCGTTATAACTCGGCCCCAGTAACTAGGATCCGCTTTTCGGCTCCTGGGATTTGTTCAAGAGTGTGTCCCGAACAATAAGCAAAATCAAAACCTCAAAAATTCCGTCGGGAAAGCCCATTTCTATGCCCGTTTCAGATATCTCTAAAAATGCTTAACTGTTTTTAGGTACCGACGCTCTGTTTTAAAATTCAAAAAGAGATCGAAGGCATCAAGAATAAGCCGCTTTCTTTGCAGAACATAAAAATTCAGGGTTTTGGGTATCCGAAACCGTCCCAAGCTGGTCGCTACGATGAAATCTGAAAGTTGACCCTCACTTCCGCATTTTTCTAGAATTGCTTATCTTCGCTCTAACTGGACGATGCAATCCTTTTTCGTTGTGCACGTTTGTGCTGCAACGGATTAGTCTGCGTCTGTCAACAAAATTGCTACTTAGTCTTAATAGTGTTCGACCTGGGTTTTTTGAAAATTTCGAGATGGAAGTTCTCGAAAAAATCATATAGTGGAAATACGAAAAAATTGTTTTTTTTTTTTTGTGCATTGTGATTTTTTTCAAGCACTCACTGTAAAAAATGTTCGGATTTTTGCCATACAAGTGTTTGGGAAAAATCCCATACGCGTGTTGGACGCGAAATTTTCTACACATGTGTAGGATTTTTACTATATACGAAATACTGTATAGGGAAAAACCGATGTGTATGTGAAAAATCCCACACTTTTGTGGCAAAATGCCTGCAAGTGTTTAGGAAGAACTTTCCACATACAAGTGTGGGAATTTTGCTATTTTTATCTTGAAAATTTCCGACAACGCAATAGTAAAATTACAGTTCATGATTTTTGGACACATCAGTCCTGCTGCTTGGGTAAATTATTCAGCAGTCTCGTTGTCCTGCTGTGGCCTCAAAGGAATCATATTGTGTCGAGAGTGCTTCTCAAGAGAAATGAAATATATCAAAATATTAGGGCACAGAGTTTAATATCATTCCCGAAATCAAAACATGCATTTAGAAATCCCTTACGCAAAGGGCAGGCGACCGCCGCGCCGCCCGCACCTGGCCTCTAATAATGGCCGGGTGGGGCCGGCCGCGCGGCTCTGGGATGACCCGGGGACGCTACGGCCGCTCTCCCAACAAGTCCCCGTGGTCTAGTGGTCAGCGTGGCAGCATTGCATCCTAGAAGTCCGAGGTTCAACTCCGCGTCCGGTAAAGTATTTAGTAAGTAGAATTGTGAACTTACATGTAAATTACGAGGAGTGAGGGTGCAGTAAGAGTAGGATCCGAGTCCACAGCCCCAAAAATATCATTTTTCCTTTTAAAAATTCGTACGTGAAAAATCCCACACCTGTCAAGGAAATCTGCTGCACTCATATGGGATTTTTCCCACACACTCGTATAGGAAAAATCCTTTACTTGTCTCGTAGATCTGCTGCACGCGTATGGGATTTTTCCCACACAGTCGTATAGGGAAAATCCTACACACTGTATATGTAATTTGCTTCAGACACATTTATGGGATTTTTCCGACACATATTTTTTACAGTGCTCTCATTTCGAAATTTGCATAGCCCATGGTCAACCACTAGCTGCATCTTTTAACAGTAACTAGCATTTTAAGCAGATGATACCTTATACTTACACTACACGTAACAACTATACATTAGGAGAGGGAGGTGTCATCGGCTCTAACACTCGAGTGTTATCGATGTTATCGATGAGTTTATCGATCGATAAATAAATAATTAAGAGAACCAATAGCAAGCTCGCACTGAAAATCCAAGTGTGCGAATGTCGCTCACTTGGAGGTGTGTGAATATCCATTCGTACACTGAAAGGGGTAGAGGTGTCAATTTTTCCTAGAAAATTCCCACGTTCATCCCCTAAGTGTAAGAATGGATATTCGCACACCTAGAAGTGTGCGACATTCACACACTTGTGTTTCTAGTGCGTATATTGTGCTAGGCAGGTGGGGACCGTAAGGTGAGGTGGCTAAGGCGGTTACCGTCGAGTCGAGCGCGTGAGCCACGCCAAGCGAAGACTACGGCGCATACACGGAAAAAAATAAGTAAGCCGTGATAGCTTATGTGTTAGCTGCTAGCGTGACAAGCAATGCGTTAGCTGCGAGAGCTAATCTCTGTCTGTGAGAGCCAAGCGATGTTTAGCATAGCAGATAATCACATGAGCTGTAAAAACTAATGCGGGAGAAAGTTTTTGTAAGATGTTAAAACTAAAACTTTTGCAAAGTTGTTCCATTAACGTTGTTTTGGGTGCGTCCTTCCTCACTTTTACTGCCCTTAACAAGGAATTAGAACCGACCCGAGTGGGTGTTGAACACCCGCCCTGCGCTCCAACTGGGAGGCACTTAGCCACTGCGCGCGTTGAAACTAGACGTTAGCCATGGAGAAGAAGGGGATGGAGAGGCAACGACGGGCGGGCCAGTTCCTGCACGACCAAATGTGTGGCTCATTTTCTCGTAAACGATTCCACTTATTTAAAATCCGAAAGCAGCATCGGATAGGAGAAGGTCGGTTCGTAAAGTCTTTAGCTCGATCCATCACACCCCTATTCGCCTTAACGCCGCGCTGTCCGCCGCAGTCATTAGGAAGGGCTCGGGGCGGGCTCGGGACGCCTGCGCTAAGTCGCAGAAAACGTTCCGTTGACAATTTTCTCAAAACAGCAAAGTGGGTGTTTCTTTTGATTGATATTGCCACAGAATGGCATAAGATTATTTTAGAATATTTTGGTACACTGTTTGAAAAAAGCACAGGGGCTGAACAGTACTTTATTGGTCAACTTGTTTCACGGTCTTCCTGTACTTGCTAAGTACGGTGTTTTGAGTACAGAGTACAGGAATTTTTAACATGGAGCCTTATGGGCACTACAGTAATAAAGTCCGGGTGTCCTGTACCTTATCCTGTACGGAATCCTGTACTTTTTCCGTACTTTGGTACAGGATTTTTAACAGTGTACCTTACCGACCGTTGAAATACGATTTCACAACAATAACAAACGTGGTGCCTTTGGGGGTTATGTTTACTATGGTCGGAAGCCTAGGCTAGCGGCAGCTGCTTCACGAATTAGTTGTTTTCGAAGGGTTTGGAAAGGTAAGCACAAAATATTGAATTGGGGCACTCGAAAAGTAAACTCGCGGATATTTTCCAACAATTTTCATCAAGGGGTTTAACGCTACCCGAATACATTGGTGTAATTTTGGGCATCTGAATATGACTGAATCCAAACATTAGAGAGAGGAAAATATTCTCGAGTATAAACAACTAATTCGTGAAGCAGCTGCCGCTAGCCTAGGCTCCGACCATAGTCAGCATACACTCACAAAGATGTTTTTATGCCGCAACCGAAATCTACTTGATCCAAGGATATTTTTTTCTTGTGTCAATCCTCCATAAAAATTTTACATCGTGTTATTTTTTTATCCCAAGAATATTTAGTTTTGGCTGTAATAAGTGAAATAGTGCCACTGGAGGCAGTCGTGAACTCTGTCTCACAGTGGGTTATGACGGTAGTGTTAGCCGGTTCGATTCTCCTTAATGCATCTCACGCCTTCAATTGGCACTGCCGAAATTCGAACCCTGCTCCTGTCAACTCAGCGCTAAAGCGTAAGCAGTAACCGTTTGAGCTATGAAGCCACATGCGTGACCGTGTCCATAGCGCTGCCTTTGTACCGCAGGAACGAGAAAAATCGTCTTCACTCGAGAAAATTATTCTCGCCCCAAGTAAAATTGAGTCAAGAATATTTTTGGGATTGGGGCAAGAAAATATTTTGGTGAGTGTAACCCTCGTTTTGCTCTACCTTGTACCGTTTCGGCGCTATGGGGCATTTCTTGGCCAAAACAACGTGAAAAAGACAAAATGGTCGAGTAAATTGTAAAAAAGGCTTCATGTCACAGAATTGTAAAGGGAGTAATACTTAAACCACACATTACGGGTCGAACCACACCCTCTTCTGGGCTTAAGGGTCCCTAGATTATCTAGTATCACTAAAACGTCGATTTTTAAATGACAATCTGTCAAAATTCGAACTTTCAATGAAAACCGTTACCGAACAGCAGAAGTTTCATGTCCCTAATTTTAGAGTAATGAGACCCCGACAAATGGTTCGAGTATGCCATATTTTGGGCCCGGAAGGCCCTGTTCCTCTATACCCTCTCCCTAACTCGTTTCGGGTGTCAGCGCCGCAGGCCTAGCTATATGTGTGCCAGGCGCATCGCAGCATAACAGTGTTATGCAGTGTTTCGTGAGATATCGCGAAGCCTGTTACGAGAGACGTGGTCTGGCGTACATATTGCTAGTTGTAAGGGCGTAGGCGTAGGCTTCATGGTTTTTTGAGTAGTCTTAGTTTTGTGTTTTACTGCTTACACTAGGCAAAAATGTCGGATAAACTTGCCTGTCCGCTGTAGCACAAAGGCACAAAGACCACGAAGATAATGGGGCAGCTGAGAAGAAGGAAGAAATCGACGTTCCCCTGTAAAAATTCGTATGTGGCTTGGATCGGTACGACCATGATAGCCGAGAGGAGGAATACCATCACATCCGACGTGACTCGGTTGAGGAGAGTGGCAGCGGTTGAGATGCGCACTTGAAGACGAACGCAGACCAAGAGGTCTTCGGGCGTAACTGCCTCCTCCACCATGGTTCCAATCGTGACAAATAAAGCGGTGCACGCCTCTTGCGTTGCGAGCATCAGGCCCCACAGCGTGAAATAGGCAAAGCCAGCACACACCGAGGCGATTGTCTGAAAGGAAAACGGAGAATCCAACGTCATAACGTATTAAAGGAAAGCACTAGGTCGACTGTGAGAAATTCCGTAGGGTTAATACGCTAGGTAGATGTACGCCAGATAGGGAGGCTCAGGGCAAAAAAGTTTTTATGAGACCGGGCGGTTAGGTATTAAAGATCGAGATGACCCATGCTCTGGCCGTTCCGAAACCACCCCGATCGGACCCCGGGAACCACTCGATCAACGCCTTTGCATTTTAACATAGGTTCCTTATGGGCTTTTGTGTGTAAAATCGAAAAACGACCCCGAAGCGAGGGGTCCTTCACTCTCCAAGTGGGTGTACAACGAGTTGCGTGAGTGTCCGCTAGTATTCGAGAGTATAAGCGAGTCTCCGCGAGTTTATGCGAGTAATGGCGAGTATCCGCGAGTATAAGACAAGTATTTGTCGTTTTTAGCCCGCCCTTCTGCTTTTAAAAAAGCATTAAAGCGGGCTTATGCAACCGC